GACACTAGTTGAAACCATCGCCTCCTCCCATCGAAGAAACTTCCCCGTCTCTATCGAGACGCTGGCTGCTACCTCCGCTCCTACACCGCGTCCTTTGCATCTGGATTATTCTCGTTGGACGGAGGACTTTTTCACCTCTTTCTTTGTGTGAAATGACGACGGGGAACATTCACATCTGTGGTTTTCTCATCCGTGGATTCTAGTGCGTCAGCAAAATCACTTTCATGGTTTTTGAACCCTGGTTATTATCTCTTGAACGACCAAACGATTTTTGGCAGGCCTAGCCAAAGTAAAACTTGTATTAGGTTCAAACATTTCGTGGAACACTTGTTATGCGCCTCTATGGCTAGCCGCCAATGGTGACCACGTCGGCAACGGTAGAGAGCACATAATCAACTTCTTTTAATTTCGATTAAAAAAGATCACACAGTCACCCTCCGACAACGATGGTGACCATATGCTGCAAAGGACCCCATCGATCTCGATCAAAATAGACTACACAATCACCATCCTACGGGCGCCTCTCATCACCTCTAATGCTTCCACAACCATGTCCTCCATGAACCACTTGGGCAACATGGCGCGGCCAGCGCCGAACCTGCTCTCCTGGAGGCCGTAGAAGCCCGCCAAGAACATGACCCTCAGCGCCAGGTCGCCCCCGATGCCCATGCAACAGAGCGGAGGATAGAACATTAAAAAAAAGAATTTGAACAAAAAGCCAGATGTTAATGTCTAGTACATGCAACCCAAGGTATGCAATTGCGCTTTTTTTTACGACTGTACCCTCATAGGGGATCTTTTCACTGCATTTGTTTTTGATCCGTGCGCACTTATCGATGCTGGGTCACGGCTGGGCTCGGAGGCCATCTTTTCGTCCGTGCGCACTTTTTGATGCTGGGTCACGGGTTAGGCTCAGTGGCCTCTTTTATTTGTGCACTTTGGCATCTTTCACAGTTGTGACAGCCGTGCATATCCCTGTGTTGGCGATGCAATCCGTGGAATTCGGTCTAATAAACTGGTCAGGTCTTGATTAATCTCCCGGTACGATACTAATCTGCGCAGCGATTTGCTCGGTGAATTTCACGTCCCGCGTCGGCCATCCTGGAAAACTCAGTTGAGGCCCAACTGGGCCCGTTCCCCTTCGATTCTCGATCCAGGCGCCACAAGTCCGGCCGCCAAATCCTATTCGGCGCCTTAAGCGCCAAATACAGGCCATTTGGTACAGGGCGCACACCCCCCTGTACACTTGGTTTTATAGCGGGCCGGCCCATCTTGCTTTCCTGTTTCTTAAAAATTCCCCAAAAAAGGTGCTCCAGCCGCGACTCGAACCACGCCCGTTCATTTAGGTAGCCATCACAACAACCAGTTGAACCAGATAACTACATGTGCTACGGTGGTTCTTTTTATTTTCTTTATATATTAACCCAGAAAAGGCAGTTGTTTTCCCTGTTTCATTTTCTATCTTTGTTTCTTTTCTCTTTCTTATTAAAATGAGTGAACTTTTTTAAAGGTGACCAAATTTTCACAAAACCGGTGAATTTTTTTCAAGTTCAATGAACTTTTCTCAAATTCGATGAACTTTTTTCAAATGTGATGAACCTTTTTTCAAATTGATGAACTTTTTTTCTCAAAGTTGATGAACTTTTTTCAATCTCGATGAACTTTTCATGAAATTTGATGAACTTTTTTTGAAAATTAGTGAACTTTTTTCAAAGTCGATGAACTTTTTTGGAAAATCGTTGAACTTTTTTTGAAAATCGGTGAAAGTTTTTCAGCGTCGATGAACTTTTTTTGAAAATCGATGAAATTTTTTTGAAAACCGATGAACTTTTTCAGTTTTATGAAATTTTGAATCTGTGAATGTTTTTTAATACATGATTTTTTTTCTAATTCGTGATTTTTTTAAATATGTGGACATTCAAAATTTGTTCATATTTCTTTTCAAAAGAAATCCCGTTTTTCTAAAAAGTGCGTATAAAGTTAGTTCTTAGAGGTTTCGTGTTGCAATCTATCAACAAGAGCTTAATAGGTCTATTGGTTGGCCACCAAGCTTTGGAGCTAACTGGCGCAGGATCTATCAAGATTTAGTTTCTCCGGTAGTTTTTCTGCGCATTAATACATTTTTTGCACTGCCTTGCATTCTCATGGGCCGGCCACTAGCATGGTGCAGTGGGCGCCAGTTGCGTCAACGGGCGCATAAGGCGCTGGGGAGGAGCTCTCAGTCCGGCCGAGTCAGTCCACGGGCAAAAAGGCCGAGATATGGCCCTACGTGCCCTACAGCCAGGTCAGCCAGCCCTACGTCGCCGGCACCTACGACAAGCGGGCCCCGGCCGGCTACGTCAGCAGCCAGGAGCCTGGCTACGGCAACGTGTCTGGCCAAGTCAGCAGGCAGGACGACCAGCTTACCGACATGTTCGACGACGACGCCAACTCCTCTGCGCCGTCATGTGTGATGTGACGAGAGGACAAAAACTTGTGCTGATGTTCTGCATGCGGCTAGTGATCCCTGGAAGAAAGTGTTGGACTGCATGATGATAGTGTTTGCGGGTTCATCTCAAGTGGTAGCAGTATTAAAGTATTACTAGTAGTTTGGAGTGCTGATTAGGATCCGTGTTGACAATTGTTAGACTATGTATAGCTTCTGTACCTATGTACGTATATGGTACATATTGTAACACAACCATTATATATAATGAGATAAGCCACCCCTAGAGGGTTGTGCTGGGTATCACGCTAGGTTACGATCGCTTCCGCTTCTAAACCCTAATACCCGCACCGCCGCCGCAGCCGCCGCCGCCTTCACCGCCGCCGCCGCGCCACCGATCGCGCCGCCGCCATGTCGAGCGCCGCCACCACCGGTTCCACTGCTGCGGGCTTCCTCCCGGCCTCTCTTGCGGCTCTGCTCAACCTCCCGCTCGATGCCGTCTCTGTTCCGGCTCCGATCGGGACAAGGAGCATCGGCTCCGTCTTCTCCACGCCGCCGGCGCCCTCGCTTGGGCGTGACCTCGTGGTCCACACCGCGGCGCCGCCGTCCGCTGCGGACTCCGCAGGCGTCGTCCCGCCGCTCCTGCCGCAAGCGGATCACACTGCCCCGCTGGCGGGGTTGGCGGCGTCCGCCCCGGCGGCGGGCCTTGCGGCGTCCGCACCGGCCGCGAGCTTTGCGGCGCCCGCCCTGGCTGCGGTACCGCCTCCTCCCGCATCGGCTTCGGTGCCTCCGGCTGCCTCCATGGTGTTTGCACCCCAGGCAGCCTCCTCGATGGGATTGTCTTCGCCGCCGCCGTTTCACTTTGGTCATCTCATCACCATCAAGCTCTCCGCCGACAACTACATCTTCTGGCGTGCGTAGGTTCTCCCGCTCTTGGGGAGTCACTACCTGCTAGGCTACGTCGACGGATCGCTTCCCTGCCCACCCGCGCTGGTAGACAGCGTGCACGGTCCGGTCTACAATCCGGCCCATCGCGTCTGGACGGGGCAGGACCAGGCGAACCTCTCCTCCATCCAGGGGTCGCTCTCGCCGGCAGTTGCCGGCCTTGTTGTCTTCGCGAAGACGTCTCATGAGGCCTGGACCATCCTTGAGCGCACCTTTGCAGCGCAGTCCCAGGCTCGTGTCTCTGCACTCCGTCGTCAGCTTGGAGAGTGTCAGAAGCTTGACTCCACTGCCACTGAGTTCTACAACAAGGTCAAGGGCCTCGCCGACACATTGGCCTCCATTGGACAGCCCCTCACCGACTCCGAGTTCAACTCGTTTATTGTCAATGGTCTTGATGAGGAGTATGATGCCTTAGTCGAGATCATCAACGAGCGGGGCAACTCGACACCCATGCTGGCACACGAGGTTTTCTCTCGGCTCCTTCTCACTGAGCAACGGGTCGAGACTCGCCGCACCAGGGGCACTGGCTCCCTCTTGGCCAACGCCGCCACCAAGGGTGGCCGCTCTTCTTCATCACCCCGGTCTCCCTTGGGGCTGCCACCGTCGCCCGCCTCGGCCCCTCCACCTACTGCGACCTTACCGGGGGCTGGCGGTCCACGTGTGTGTCAGCTTTGTGGCCGCGATGGGCACTGGGCCTCCAAGTGTCATAAGCGCTTCCAGCGAAGCTTCCTTGGTCTTGGCAATGACGGCAAAGATACACGCAACAATGCCCGTCAGGTCGCCATGGCTGATCGTCCCGCGCCGCAGAAGCAACAGGGACACACTCAGTCCTACTCCATCGATCCACACTGGTACATGGACTCTGGGGCGACA